GTAATGAAGTGTCTTCTGTTTCCAGATCACTTCGTTACACAGAGAAGTGGAGAAGGTGAAGGTTGATCAGAAGAGGTAGGAGACTCTGAGCGCTTGAAATGATTGAATTTCTTCTCTGCGCTGTCCTGCCTGCTTGGGTGACAGCTCTGCAATGTGTGCAACATGAAAGGGAAGCAGTTGGCATTTTCTCTTTGCAGACTGGATCAGGAGCTCGACTTCATTCTGTCCCAGCAGAAAGAGCTGGAGGACTTGCTGACCCCTCTGGAGGAGTCTGTGAAGGAGCAGAGCGGCACCATCTACCTGCAGCACGCCGATGAGGAACGGGAGAGGACGTGAGGCACAAATCTGCTGGGGATGGGGGATGAGCTCTGTCCTGTGGTCATAGCAGTCAGCAGGAGATAGAGTTGGGATGGGTGTCAGGATTGAACCATGAGTGCCTGCTGACAGATATTTAATCCTGTTTTACTCATGGCAACATAGATTTTACTCATTGTCTTCCACACTCTTGTTTGTCTGTCCCTATTTGTCAATCAAGGGAGACAGGCCTTGGGAGTCCCTTCCTGTGGGTGATGGAGCTTCTCTGGCTGCTGTTCCCAGGTCTCTGCCAGCCTTGGCTGCAGATGTGGAAGCTCATTCTCATTGCCCATAGTTGGTGTGACTGCAAGCAGGTCTTCAAAGCTCTCTTCAAACATTCTGATCTTGCTTCCTGTGTGCTCTGCAGCTACAAACTGGCTGAAAACATCGATGCTCAGCTGAAGCGCATGGCACAAGATCTGAAGGACATCACAGAGCACTTGAACACAACAAGAGGCCCAGCAGACACGAGTGACCCGGTAATTGCAAGCTTATATTTTTATTTTTTATAATTTTTATTGTACTGATCTTGATGCTCCTTATGGCTGTACTCAGCAGCTTTTTTTTCAGTAAAAAATTCCCTTTGGTATTGGAGATTGAGCTTTTCTGCATTCATTTTTAATTTTGCCACTCCATGCCTAAGGTGATGAATGTTCTGCTGGTTCCTAGGTCTACATTAAAATAAGCCAAAGCCACAGACACATCAGCTGAACTGTGCAGGTTTTTTGCTGGTATGGAGAAGCAAAGTAACAGGGTTGCTGCACACACTTCCCTGGCAAAGTGGCTGCTGCCTTAGGGAAGCTGTGCAAGGAGAAACTTGCCTTTGATTCCTCTTGGTGTTTATGCATTCTCACAACTGACTTGCACCTTCTCTCTCTGCTCAGCTTCAGCAGATCTGTAAAATTTTGAATGCACACATGGATTCCCTGCAGTGGATTGACCAGAACTCAGGTGAGATTTATCCTGCAGCCTTTTGGGAATGTGAATGGAAAGCAGGAGCATGTTTGTGGGTGTTGTTCATCCCTGAATTCCTGAAGGTGCCTGAAGAATCTTCCTCTTCACCTTCAGTGGCACGGTCCCCTCTGGTCTTGAATTCTCCTGATGTGCCTGATTAGACGCCTCTGATGAGAAGTTTCTCCTGGCATCTGCTGGTGTTTTACCAAAAAAGCCCCACTTAAATGCTTTTCTTTCTCCTGCAAGCAAAACTCTGCAGCGTTGTGTTCTGGTCTGTGACATTAATCCCTTGTTTCTCCCACAGCTGTGCTGCAGAGAAAGGTGGAAGAGGTGACAAAAGTCTGTGAGAGTCGCCGCAAGGAGCAGGAGCGCAGCTTTCGGATCGCATTTGATTGAAACGCTCCCAAGTGCAAAGGATGAACATAAAGCCTCCACAGAAAACAACAGAGGTGTTAGAGGTCTGAAATCATGACCTGGTTTTGTTTCTTTTCTTGCAATAAAATGTGTTGTTTGTTCCAAATACAGTCTTTGTTGTGTTGATCTGGAGAATTTAAGACAGTGCCTGAAGTCTCTGGGGAAGTGTGGCCTCTGTGCTTCATCTGCCTGCAGGCTGGTGAGATGCACAAATGCTGCTTTGGAGGGCTCATGGCAGTGTGTGGACACAGTCCTGCAGCAGCAGGGTGCAGCACACTGGACTCTAGAAGACTTGTGGACTATAAGCATCAATAAACACACACTAAGGAAATACCACAATAAGTGCATTTATTTACCTGGCCTCTTCCCTCCCTCCTTGCCACAACAGTGTACAGGCACTGCCTGTCTCTCAAGAAGAGCCCAGGCCCCTGCTCTCTCTTCCCCACTCTGAGATTACTGGACCTGCACATTGGCTCCCACCTGTCCTTCACTGTCCCACGTTCAACCACAGATTTCCTGCAGCTCACTGACATCCACAAGGCTGCTGGTTCTCCATCCCTCAGGTGGCAGGAGCGTTCTCTGCAGCAGAGGAGCTGGGGATGGCAGAGTCAGCCTCCACCAAATGCTTCCTGCTTTTCCCAAAAGCAATCACCAGCGGCTTCCCCTGCAGCTTGTAGCCGTTCAGCAGCTGCAGGGCGCTCTGGGCTGACTCCGTGTCTGCAATGAGAGGGCACAGTGGGCACAGGGCACCCAGCAGGTGCTGGCACAGAGTGTTCCTATGGGTGCTCCCATCTGATGGCCACTCAGCCTGCTCTGGTGCAGCGAGGGGATCCTGCAGCCACACTGACATGCTGAATGAACACTGCACGTTGCAGACCACATTGCTTCTGCCCTGGAAGATGCATGCCCGAGATTAAGTTTCCACCAAGCTCTTAGTCTATGTCCCTGAGAACCTTATTTGCTGAAAAGTGGACACCCCAGCTGCTGCTTGGCACCCAAGGAGAGGTTTATGCTGAGGACTAAACCCTGACAAACATCACTGAGCAACCTTTCCAGCCCAGGGAAAGGACCATGGCACGATAGGAAGAGAAGGGAGTGAATTCCCCTGCTTCTCCTTGAAAGGCAGGCTTGCCAGCAGCACAGTGCCCTGCAGGAGGATGTGACACCTTTGGGAGTCAGGGAAGAACTGAGAGGCACGAGGCAGCAACTCACCAGGGAAGGTGATGAAGGCCTGATCCCTCATCCGGCCGCTCAGGAGGCGGAACTGGATCAGTGGGCTGTCCTCTTTCTGGAACCGAGCAAACAAGGCCACCAGGTCCTTCACTGTCACTCGGGGAGCCAAGTTCTTCAAATACAGCACCTGTAACAGAGACAGAGGGTCAGCCAGCCTTTGCCATGCAAAGACACTCCTCAGCCTGGTCCCAAGTCTGTTCTGCTCCACAGTGTGAATTAGTTCAAGCCTCACACCCACATGCTAATGGTGGCATTTAAAGGACAGGTGGGTGTACAGAGAAAGGCAGCTCTGAACTCAAGACATCACCCTGCTTACCTGCATAAAGCACTGACAGGTTCATTTTATTATAAAACAGTTCCGTTTATTCAGTTTATTTATAAACTAAATAATCTCCAGCTACCAGATAGGCACAGTTTGAGTAAGGTGGCAGCAGACCTCAGCCAGAGCACATCTTGACAGGTGACCTGCTGGAGCCAGGGAGGGCTGTGCTCACAAGTACAACTCTTTGCCAGGATGGTGACCTCCCAGCAGAGTACAAGGTACCTTTTCCCCCCAGAGCAGAGGCTGCTCTCCCCCAGGCCTGGAGGATCAGCCGAGCAACTTCAAAGCAACAGCAAAGACGAGCCTTTGCCTACTGCCACAGCTTCAGGGCATCCTGCTGAGCAAGGATAAACCCTGGTTCGTCTCAGCTTACCTTGCTGGGCTCTCCTGGATGGTAGGATGAGAACCTGGGTATGTTCCGGAGTTCTTCCTCTGAGAGGCGGTTCTTGAGGATCTCCTCTTCTGGGACAAACTTGACTGGCTCTTTAATAACCACAGGCCTTGGAGAGGACTGGTGGGGCTTTGTTGCAGAAACACTGGGACTTGCTGCCTGTTCTGCTTGCTCCTCCTGGTCTGGAAGTGATGACTCCTCAGTTATAGCCCTCTGCAGGGTTGGGGAAGGGGACAAGCAGGGGTCACTTGTAGCAGACTGGACTTTTTCTGGGCACTTCTTGCTCAGCAGCTCTTGGTAAACACTCTCCAGATGAACCATGGGGTCCTTTTCATCTGTTGCCCTCTTCTGAGTGTCATCTAATTCATAACAGAGAAACGTGGTAACTATTACCAATAACCTGGAAAACACACAGACTGCAAGACACAGAAGAGAGAAACCCTGTTTCACCCCAGCCTCTGTGGCCAGGCCCTGCAGGTTGTTTAAAACAAGAGCAACTCCAGCAAGTGCTGGTTCCCCAGCTCAGGATGAACCTGCAGAGAGCAGCAGCTCCACCTGTGCTACATCAGAGCTTTTCTTCAGAGATGCTCTCAATTGCTTATCTGCAACCACATTTCAGCACTTTCTAGGGACTCCTTCACCACATCTTCCTCCTCCTTCATGTACATGCAGGATGGGCCATGCTGCCTGCCTGTACCACTATGGGGTTGCTCTCAAGGACATCAGATTAAGCTCCTGGGTTTAAAGAAGGTCCATGACACGGACTGATCAATGATCTCTTTTAATTCTCTTTAATGGAAAGGAGGACAAATGTGAGAGCAGCATCTCCCAGCCTTCGACTGGATCCAATTCCACTTCAGGGATTAGGCTTTCACAATCCATTCCTCCTCTTACCTGCTCTATGCCTTTGCTTCCTTCACCCCCTGCAGTTTCCTCAGGGAAGGAACAATCTCCAGTGCCACACAGGCACTTTGTGTAACCCAGACCTCGAGGCTCTACCAAAGCATCACCCCAGCTCCTCTCCCACACCCCAAGCTGCTCTGCACCACATGCAACACATCAAGGAGATCCATGCTCTCCAGAAATGGACTTTAAAAGCCTCTATATTAAACCCTTCACAGAACCAACTCTCTGCCTGCTGCTGTAAGAGAGGAAAATATCTCCTCCCACACAGTACCAAAGCAGAACCACATCTTCAGGGACAGAAGGCCAGACAGGAATGTGTTGGGCTCCCACACAGGCTGGCTCTGTGTGCCAGAGCCCAGGCAAGAAGAGCCCTGAGCCCACGAACCTTCGTGGTAGAGGGCCCGGAGGAAGGAGTGTCGGTCTGTTCCCTGGAAAAGGGCGTTCTCGATCTCCATCTCCCGCCGGCTCAGCTGCTTGCTGCCTGCAAACCTCTGCGGCAGCGCCAGGATGCGCTGCCGCTCCTGCAGCTTCTCCTGGATGGCATGGAGCCGCTCCTGCGTGGCCTCCGGGGCTGCCCCCAGCCCACAGCCCTGGAAAACAAGCACGGCTTGGCTCAGCAATGGCACGGGCCTCCTCCTCAGAGGGAGTCACAGCCCCAGCCCTGCAAGTCGGTGCAATTGGGAGCCATCCCCCAGGGCACCAAGTCACTGCAAGGGTACGCAGCAAGCTCGGTTCTTGAGGGAAGTGGAGAAACAGCTCCTTTCTCATCAGCTGTCTGTGCTGCCTTCCTCTCCCTGGCCTGTCTCCCTCTGTCCCTCTGACAGCTACAGCCATTTTCCACAGCCACCTTCAGAGACTGCACAACCATCCTCTGGCAATTCTCTCCCCACACCTACAGCATCCCCGAGCTCAAGTTTCCACCAAGCTCTTAGTCTATCACCCTGAGAACCTTATTTGCTGAAAAGTGGACCCCCCAGCTGCTGCTTGGCACCCGAGGGGAGGTTTATGCTGAGGACTAAACCCTGACAAACACTACTGAGAAACCTTCCAGAAACCACACAGGAACTGCAGCACAGCCCTCACAGCTCAGCTGCCAGGAGGGAGCATCCCTGGGTAAACAAACCTCACTGCACGGGCCACTCCATGCTGCCAAAGCACAGAGGCACACCCCAGCTGCTGAAAGGGCACTTCTGCCCCCCCATCCACCTCGATCAGAAGACAAAGAACACGCTTTTATGGGGCTATGGGTGGATTTTCTGTTCTCAAATTCAGTTTGAGAATGACTGTGGCAGATCCTTCTGCCTTGGGCAAGAAACCAGGCTTTCTCCCTGCACTGAGCACAACCTAACAGTTTCCCATGGTACCTCTGCCCCACATCTGCACAGCTCCTTCATTCACCATTTCACAGCTTCCCTGAGGCACAAAAGGCTGTTTATATGGAAAAGCAATTCCCAGAAATCATTTGTTGTACTTTGTTTTCAAAAAAAGCTGCCACTTAGCAACTGAAAATAACAGAAATCTGCACTCAGTACTTCACCAAGAGCTCCCCAGGCCATCTGAAGTTCTCCCTGTCTCAGCTGACATTATTCATCACCCATGGTGGAATCGTTCACTCAGGCCCTCCACCTCCAAAGCTGCACATCTGACTTAGGCCTTCTCCCTAAATATTCTTCTCTCAGAACCTGTAAAAGATATACCCTGATGTTACCATTTTTTTCTGTCAGAGTAGTGTTTTACATACAAATCATTTTTTCTGAACATCCCAGAATTCATTTCATACTAAATATAACAGCTGGTACTGATGACATTGATTTTCATTCTTAAATTAACACCACCCCTCTCTACACCAAGCTTTAATCAGGCCAAGCAGGACTGGATTTGCATTTAAACACCAAAGCAAGTAATGATTTCAGCTGAAAAGGAGGCAAACCCCAGATTATCACTGACAATTCTCTCCTGCACACAGCTATCACTCAGGAAGACAAGAGGCAGAGGGAAGCCAAGGATCAGCCCAAGTCCTGTTCTGCATTTTCTAATTTGGCAAATTAAAAAGCAGGACACTCCAGTGCACCTGACATGGCACAACCACAAAAACCTCTTGTCTCTGGAGTGTGAAAAAGAAAGGGTGAAGGTGGGGAAAGGGGAAAAACCTGCTGGAAGAGCACCCAGGGAGGAGCCACCACACACTCTGCCTGACAGCTCTGCACTATTTCCACATGGCTATCCCAGGGCTCCTGAAGAGTACACTCCCTACAAACAGCCGTCTCATATCAGGATACTCAAAAGAGGATGTTGAGGTGCTTTGAAATATTTTCTCCTTTTTCTCTTCTGGCATATAAATCCTTCGTACACAGGTATAAACAGGTGACACGGTTTGTTTGAGATCAAGGCAGATGCAGGAATACACTCATGTCCTGCTGTGTTCCAAAGGACCCACTCCTGTCTCCAGCACATCTTTGAACACTGACCATTCCACCAAAGAAAAGAGGCCAGCAGAAATGTAGGATCATGCTGGGCTAAAGGGATACAAGGAGTGGCCATTCTTTACCAATGGCTTACAAAGGACTGGAATTATCTACCAGAGTGCCACAGGATCAGAGGAACCTGACCTGGTTAGAGAAGCATGCCCACCTTCCTTGCTGAAGCCTGGTTCTTCCAGAGCAGAATCTCCGAGTCGGAGAGCCCCAGTTCCCGGAGAGAGGAGGTTTCTTTGTCACTCTCCTGCAGGGCCTGGAACTGCGACAGGGTCAAAGCCCCCGCAGCCTCTTCCCCAAAAGGTTTGTAAAAAGCTGCAGGGGCAAAGCATCTCCGCTTTGACTTGCACCTGTGAGCCAAAGCAACACAAGAGCACAAACAGCTCAGCACTGAGGAACTGGGGGACAGGAAGGGGCTGGTCTCTCTCAAACCACACCTAGGCCAGATCAGGACTTACTGCTCGATGGAGACAGAGGTGTCAAGTTGGTGGTGAAGGAGGCTTTTCAGCTGCCTCTCTCCTTCTGTCTCCAAGTCTTCCAGGAGAAGCTCATCACTGGACAGGCTGCTGTTCACCCTGGGGCACACAACCACAGCACAGGCACGGTCAGTAAGACAACACTGCTCAAAACACATCCTTGCTACAGCCTCGCCACCTCTTGGGCTGTTTTTACGGGATTTATAAAACAAGAAACCAAAACTGCGTGACCAAAGCTCCCTTTAACGTCACTAGAAAAGTCAACAGATTTGGGGCTACTCTGAAAACAACCCAAGAAGTCTTCGGGTGTTTTTGTATTGGTGGGGGGGTTGTTTATTTACTTTAAAATCACATGCAATCATTTTTTATTGACCGAAATCATCCTGCATCATCATCTAGACAGACACTGCCAGTTTCAAATGAGTCAGGGAAGGAAGAAAGAAATGAAACCGCGACGCTGAAGAGAAACTGCGAATTTCCACAGCGCTCTTCCCTTTCCGGGGTCACCAGCTCCGGAGCAGACAGACCACAAATCCACCCAGCCCGGACCCGGACCCGGACCCGGACCCGGACCCGGGCCGTGCCGCACTCCCGCTCCGGGCCCGGAGCCGCTCCGGGCCGCCCGCAAAGGGGGCTGGGGGTGGCACCGGGCCCGGGCCGTGACCGGCGGAGGGGCCGAGCCTGTGAGGGCAGTCTGGGGACCCCAGGGACCCGCGGATCCCCCGCTCACCGGCGCATGGCCCCGTCGCTCCGCACTCCAAGCCCCGGCAGCGCCCGCGGTGCGCCGGGAGCCGCCCCCGGAAGAAGCGGGAGGGGAGCGGCCCGGAGCCGGGGGGAGAGCGGCCCGGAGCCGTGGGGGGAGCGGCCCGGAGCCGGGGGGAGAGCGGCCCTGACCGGGGAGAGCGGCCCTGACCGGGGGAGAGCGGCCCGGAGCCGGAGGGGAGAGCGGCCCTTGAGGTGCTGCACTTAGCGCAGCCTTGGCAAGCAAGCATACCAAGCATCCCCCAAAGACACTCGCTCCCCTCTGCAGCTAAAGAGAGACAAGAAGAGGTCTCTCGTCAAATGACGGGCAAAACAGGCTCAATTTAAGAGATATAAATTTATTACTAACTAAAGCAGAGCAGGATAATGGGAAGTAAAATCACCCCTGAGAAACACCTTCCCACACCCGTCCCTCCTGCCCCAGCAGCGCCGGGAATGGGGTTGTGCTCAGTTGCCGTGCTTTTCCCGATGCTCAGGGACACCGCGGGGTCCCTCCCACGGGGGACAGTTCTCTCTGAACTTCCCTGATCTGAGTCCATCTCACCAGCACCAGCTCTCTGCAAACCGCTGCAGCGTGAGCCCATTGCACAGGCAGCAGCCCCCCTCCAAGTGCTGCAGTGTGGGGCACTCTGCCACAGCGTCCTTCAAGGACAGAATGCTCCAGCCTGGGAGCAGGGCACCTCTAGGGCTCACAGCCTCCTCTCAGGCGTGCCCCTGCTCTGGCATGGGCACCTCCATGAGCTGCAGGTGGATCTCTGCATCCCCGTGGTCCTCAGTGGGCCGCAGGGCACAGCTGCTTCAGCATGGTTCTCACCACAGGCTGCAGAGGAATTTCAGCCCCAGCACCTGGAACAGCTCTTTGCCCTCCCTCCTTGTCCAATGACCTTGTTTCTCACCAGGTTTTCACCCTGCACTTCTCTGGCCGCAATTACAACTGTGCCATAATTATTTTTTTTTTTCTTCTTAAAACTCTTCCACAGAAGCATTGTCACCTTTCCTAATTGGCCCTGCCTTGGGCAGTGACTTGTCCATCTTCTGGTGTCTGCTTCTGCTGGACATGGTGGAAGCTTCTGGCAGCTTCTCACAGAAAGCACACCTCCAGCCACCCCCACTACCCAAACAAGGCCATTCAAAACCATGCAGAGCCCTCTAAGGCAGCACTTCTGTTACCTCACCAGTCTGCAGGCACAGCTAAAGCACAAAGCACACACACTTCCTGCACAAACTTCATCCAGTTTCTTATGGGAGCAGGTAAAACCCAGGCCAACACCACAAAGACTGGCTTTGAACAAACAACACATTTTATTGTAAGAAAAGAAACAAAGCTGGGTTATCATTTCAGTCCTCAGTTCCCAAACACCTCTGTTTTCTGTGGAGGCTTTATGTTCATCCTTTGCACTTGGGAGCGTTTCAATCAAATGCGATCCGAAAGCTGCGCTCCTGCTCCTTGCGGCGACTCTCACAGACTTTTGTCACCTCTTCCACCTTTCTCTGCAGCACAGCTGTGGGAGAAACAAGGGATTAATGTCACAGACCAGAACACAACCCTGCACACTTTTGCCTGTAGAAAGAAAAGTATTTTCTCATTGACAGTCACTCAGTCACTCAGATTCAACAGTGGACAAAGCAGGAGAAAAACTCAACCCCAAAGCATTACCAATAAGAGAACTTCTTCATTATTTAATGAACAGGGCGAAAAATGGGTCTCCTTTCTAAAAATTTAAAGGAAACAGATAGCTATTTTCACACACATTCTGTAAAGAATTCAGGTGGCACAGGAGGTGTACAAGATTTCTGGAAAAAGGCATGTTTGGAATGTGGAGCTTAGCGTAAGTGTTCTGAAAGAAAACACCTACTTAGACTCTGACCTAAGCCAATAATTCTATGTGAGCATGGAGAACAGTAGGCCTGCTTTCACACAAGAAGTTGTGAGCATTTCACTGCACTGTAGCCAGGCAGTGCACTCTGGGGCAGCTGAGAGGAGAGCTGCTTTATTCTGCCGTGCCCCCGTGTGGCTGCTTCCAGTTAAAATCCAAATGGCACAAAATTCCAGAACGCTTCACCAGGAGGCACTCCCAGGGAGAAAAGTTCCTTCTTTCTGTCCTGTTTTAGTATGACTCCACTGTCAAGTGTCCACTCCTGAGTGCATCTCCTGCTCTGCACTGGATCTCCAGCTATTAAGGCTGTGAAATTCCCACATTATTCCTCTAGTTCCCCCACCTGCAGATCAATGCAGGCTGCTCCATCTTACCTGATGTGCCTTCCCGTTTCCAGAGTGGGTAGGGTGATACCACTGAACACACACACTTCCCCTCACCAACCTTCCTGTGTAACAGGCAAACCCCACACTCTCTTAGAAGCTGAACTATAATGTCAGTTTGACAGAATGAGTAATAAGGTTTTCAAGCTCTCTGCTATGCACTGATGCATTTAAGGAAGGCTTTTTTTGGTAAAACATATCCGTTGCCAGGAGAAACTTCTCATCAGAGGCCTCCAATCAGGCACATCAGGAGAATTCAAGACCAGAGGGGACCGTGCCACTGAAGGTGAAGAGGAAGATTCTTCAGGCACCTTCAGGAATTCAGGGATGAACAACACCCACAAACATGCTCCTGCTTTCCATTCACATTCCCAAAAGGCTGCAGGATAAATCTCACCTGAGTTCTGGTCAATCCACTGCAGGGAATCCATGTGTGCATTCAAAATTTTACAGATCTGCTGAAGCTGAGCAGAGAGAGAAGGTGCAAGTCAGTTGTGAGAATGCATAAACACCAAGAGGAATCAAAGGCAAGTTTCTCCTTGCACAGCTTCCCTAAGGCAGCAGCCACTTTGCCAGGGAAGTGTGTGCAGCAACCCTGTTACTTTGCTTCTCCATACCAGCAAAAAACCTGCACAGTTCAGCTGATGTGTCTGTGGCTTTGGCTTATTTTAATGTAGACCTAGGAACCAGCAGAACATTCATCACCTTAGGCATGGAGTGGCAAAATTAAAAATGAATG